ATCTTTTAATATATATTAAAAGATAATAAGAATTTAATATTAAAATATTAATAGCTTTTAATACTAAATTTAATAAATAAATAATATATTATAGATTTATAATTAAGAAGTTACTATTATATATATAAAATTAAAATAGCTTTATTAAGTAATTTAAAAAAGTAATAATAAAATAAATATATAATATAAAGAACTTATTTAAGATTTTAAAAGTTTTATAGCTTGAAATTCTTTTATATATAAGCTACTTATTTAATAATTTACTTACTAAGTTATTAAATTAAAAAACTTTAATTAAATATATTAAAAACTATTTAAAAAATAAAATATTAACTTTTTTAATAAATTATATTATTCTTTATAAATATAAAGTATATTCTTTTATAAAAAATTAACTTAAGCTTAATAGACTTAAGCTATAAGCTTATATTAATTACTTAGTTAAGTATAACTTTATAAATATAAAATATATAGTTTTTAATATTATTAAATAATATAATTTATAAAATAATTAATTAAAAGCTATTAATAAAGTAATTAAGATTATTTAAAAACTTATATTAAATATTAAAGATTTATCTAATAACTAAAAGCTATAAATTAATTATTAAAAAGTATAATAATATAATTATAATTAAAATATTTTTTAAAAAGGCAAAAGTAGTATATATATTAATTACTTTAAAGAAAATACTTAAACTTATATTTAGTATAATTTAAAAAATAATTTTTAAAACTTATATTTAAGTTTAACTAAATAATATAATTTATAATATTAAAATAAGATCTTTTAAAATAAGTGAAATTAGTTATATATAAAAGCTAATAGTAAAGCTAATTTTAGACTTCTTTTTATTAATTTTATTAATTTATAAAATTAAATATTATAAAAAAAGTTTAAATTAAAATACTTAATTATATTATAATTTTTTTTTAAGAATTTATAATCTTTTTTAATTTTTTAATTTTTTTTAATTAAGTTTTATTAAATTTAATATTATATATATATAATTTCTTTAAATTAATTAAAGTTTACTTTTAATACTTATTAAAGTAATCGAGTTTATTATTTTATATAAGTATATTTATTTTCTTATTATATTTATTTTATTAATTAAATTATAAAGTAAACTAAAAATATTATTATTAAATAAGTTAATTAATTATTAATTAAAACTTTTTATTCCTAGAAAATCTTTTATTATATAAAGCTTTTCTTATTTATTATATATTTTTTTCAAATTTAAATACTTTTTTAATAATTAATATTATAATTTTTAATAAAAGTTTATATTTCTTAAAAATATTTATAATTAATAATAACTTTAATATCTCTAAATTATTTAATTATTATACTTATATTATATTAATAACTCTTAATTACTTAATAATAAAAAGAATTAAACTTATTATAAAAAATAAATCTTTATACTTTATTAAGGCTTCTTTTTTATTAATATTATAAATAAGAAAGAATAATAAAAAAGTTAATTATTACTTATATAATTAATATTAAGATTAATATTATTAAATATATAATTATTAAGAATAAAAATAAGAATACTTATATTTTAAGTTATATTTTAATTAATTTAAAGAATATTATAAAATAGTTAATATTATATAATAATTAATAATTAGTACTTAATTTTAAATTAAGAAAAAGTAAATTAATAATATTAAACTTATACTTTTTTTTAATTATCTTATTTTATTTTTCCTAATATTAAATAATTTATTTAATAAAGAATAATTAAGAATAATATATTAAGTTTATATATTTTACTTAATAAGAAAAACCTTATAAAAAATTCTATTTCTCCTTAGTTTATAATAATAAGCCTTTATATTATTATAAATTCTTTTAAGTTTATAAAAGTATATAATAAAGATTTATAAATAAAAAGACTCTTTTATTAAAGTATTTAAATTATAAGAAATTTTCTTTAAAAATATTATTTAAAAAAGAAGATTTTTTAAATTAAAAAGTAATATTTCTTATAAAATATTAATATAAGTTTTAGTTTTAAGAATAACGTTTTTTAATATTAATTTTTAATTAATAGACTTATAAAAAGCTTTTATTATAAGAGTATTATAATTCTTATAATTATTATTATAAAGAAGAGAGCTTAACTTAACTTAATAATTCTTCTTATTTTTAAATAATCTTATAAGCTTCTTAATAATTAAATAACTATTTATATAATTACTTAATTATTTTATTATATAATAGTTATAAGCCTAATTACGCGTTTATATACTTTTATTTAATTAATACAAGTATTATAATACTCTTATAATTACTTTTATTATAATTAGTATTACTTAAAAAACTATATTTTATTTAAACTTTTAATTTCTCTTCCTTAATTCCTTCTCGATTCTTATACTTCTTTTCTTAATAACTTTAATTCTTCTAATTATTAAAGCGCGCCTTACTAATAAGTAAAGCTTTCTAAAATAGTATATAGAACTTAAAATTAATACTATATTTAAGAATATTTAATATTTAGTCGACTTCGAAATTCTTAAAACTCTTTACTTACTCTTTATAAAGCCCCCTTTCTCTCTTATAATTAATTAAATAATTAAGTAATTAAATATTAAATAAAATACTTCTCTAATAATATAAGATATAAATAAGTAATTAGAAATAGAGAAAAGAATATAATTAAAAGTATTCTAACTAGCTTATTATAATAATATTAAAAAAGAATACTTATTTAAACTTAAAAAGTATACTATTAAATAAGCTAGTTAGTCTATTTAAAGCTCTTAATATTAGAATATTTAAAACTAAATATATTATATAATAGAGCTTATTTTACTTATATTATATTTTTAATTACTTATTTCTTAAAAAAAGCTCTTTTTCTAAAACATTATATAAGTTCTATATAATAAGTTCTAATTATTAAAAGATAATATATAAGACTAAGTAAGAGAGAATTATAAAAGAATACTCGAGTATAGTAGAATAAACTTAATTAATTCTAAGTTCTTATATAAGCTTAGACTTATTATATTATAAAAGTAAAAGATTTCTTAGTAATTAAGAACTTCTTATAAGTAGTAACTATTAAACTCCTCTCTATTTAAGAAGTATAATAACTTGTTATTATAATTAAAACTAATATAATTAAGGAACTAGTTTATATCCTTAAATAATATAAAAAGATCTTTAAAGTTTTAATTTAAGAGACTTATTAAATAAGGAATATTATATTTATTATACTTAGTAATTACTTAAGCTCTTCTTCTAATTATTATTATTTATATAAAGAGACTTATATAAAAAGACACTCTTAAGTTCTATTAGAATACTTTATTTTAGAACTCGCAATTACTAGTTCTATTATTAAGAACTTAAACCCTCTATTAATAAACGATTAGTTAAAGGCTATATAAGAGTACTTTATTATAAAACTATTCGAGAAGTTATATAAATACTTTAAAAAGAAGAAATAAAAGAAAAGTAAGAAAGTAAAGTATTTAAAAGAATTATTTATATACTAGAAGATATATATAATCTAGTTTTAATTACCTTAGACTTATAAAGATATTTAAGACTAAGGTTAGTTCTTTTTTAAGTCTTAAAAAAGCTTACTTTAAAGCTTTATTAAAATAATAGTTTCTTTATTTCCTTTATATTATAAGTAGTATTTAGGGGTATATTATAAAGGAGGGGGCTTAACTTAACTTAATATACTTTAAGATACTTACTTAATAACTCTTCTTACTTTTAAATACTCTTATAAGCTTTTTAATAATTAAATAACTATTTATATAATTACTTAATTATTTTATTATATAATAATTATTTTATTATATAATAATTATTTTATTATATAATAATTATTTTATTATATAATAATTATTAAAGTATTTTATTTAATAAAAGTTAACTTTTATAAGTTCTTATAATTTCTAATCTTTTACTTATATAATTTAGTAATTCTTTTTTTAATTACTAATAAATATTAATTAATAAAGCTTTTTTAGTTTATTATTACTTATTAAATTATAAACTTATTCTTATTTCTTAATATAATCTTTATAAAAAGTCCCTTAAAGTATTTTAAGATTATTTTATATAAAATTATTAATATTTATATTTAATATAATATAAATTTAAATATAACAAGATTCTTTATTAAAAGTAATAATTAAATTAAAAATTAATAAAATAGATTATTTCTTACTTTTTCTAAAAGGGGTTACTATTAATAAAGTTATTATAAGAAAGGTAGCTTATAAAAGGGAACTCTTAATCTTAATAATTAATTTATAAGTTCTTTGAGACTTTATATAAGTAGTAGATACTAGAAAGATATAGTAAATATAAGCTTTAATTTCTTATACTTATTATCCTAATTTAAGAGCTTTAGTAGTAGTTAACTAGTATTAAAAGCGGCGAGGGAGGGGGTTAGAGGCTTACGAGCCCGTTTTATAAGAAGAGTAGATTCTGCTAACTAGTTATAAGCCCGCTTTAAGTAATAGATAGGAGGCATTGTCCTTACTCTAGGAATGTATTTTGTAATGATTTAATCAAGTGGTGGTTGAGTAATTAGAAATAGAAGGTGGAATTGTATAGCTAGAAACACGCTTTTAGTACTAAGACGCGTTTTCGCTAAAAAATAAAAAATAAAAAAATAAAAACCGCGATTTTAGCGATCGTTTTGTATGTTGCCGTACTGCTGTAACGGCTCGTCAGTGCCATCGCTAGTCCGCCTATCAACCCCCTAACGTCGTAAGCGAAACATACGAGTTTATGATGAGTGCGGAGAAGAAGGCGCTCTGCAACTGGGTCTCTGATCCATTCGATAATTTACGAGATCTCAGCCCCGCGGGTTGATCAGATGTCTCGGATCTAACCGATCGTTCCCGTTGGGCACTCGGAGTTGAAAGTCTCTTGACTCGAGGCCTAGACTTGTCCAAAAGGCACCATGTAGAACAGTCACACGCATCTCAACATCCTAATCAAGAATAAAACACTAACAAGTTCCTGTATTGCTCTCATTGAAGTCACCGTCTTTAACTCAAGTAATAGGAGAATGTCGAGAACTATATGCCTTACGGCCACCTACTAACCGGAAGCGTGCACCGCCATTTTGTTTACATCTGACTCATGAATGCCTGACCAAGTTTGCATCGACATAGGGTGAAGTATGCTTGAACTTGCTGCCGCATGCTACTTAACCTCCGTCCCTGTCTCGCGAATCGCGGCTACCCCGTGATTAAACTTACTATCGGGGTGATCTTCCCCACTTCTCTCAGATGTTCCCTCTCTAGCCTCACCAACGGGTCGTTTAACTACAATTCCTTGTCAGTATATCACTATATAAATTCGTTTAGCATTGAACATACCTTGAAAGCATCTAAGGTCAACTTCACCCCTCGCGCCAAGGGCACTCTCCTCATCACTGTACAACAAGCCAACTATCTCCTTTCCGCCATCCTGTCCAGGATTCGCAGTCTCGTAGCACAGCATCTTGAACAACTTGTAGATCCCCGCTGCCACGAAAGCACCCATGAATGGTCCGAGCCAGTAAATCCAGTGATACGATGGGAAACTTGCGTTTACGACATCGGGGCCCAAAGCACGAGCTGGGTTCACGCCGCAACCTGTGTAATAAACAGCTGGGTAGGAAATGTCAGCCATGGAATCCATTCTGTCCGGTATATCGTGATCTGCTCTTGAGAATATCTGAATGAAGAGGTGGAAAGGAAGTCGGTAAAGAAGGGTGGAATGTACCAGTCATATGACATACAAACAGCGTCATCCCGATACCGATGGGAGCCAGAAACGTAGCTCTATGTTTCTCAACCGCCAACATAAAAATGACCACCAAGAACTGAATCGTGAGAAACATCTCTATGAAAAGTCCTTGGACGATTGAGGTTCCTGCTCCCAAAGAAACATTAACGAGCAAGGGTCCAGGAAAGAGAGCCGAAACGACACCTGCAGCGGCGATGCCGGCTAGGATTTGGCATGGAAAGACGAGGAGACCTCGAATTGGGGGCACGGCTCCGATGAGGACGAGGCCGAGGGTGACCTGAAAGGTTTCAACATTGCAAAATTACAATAAATTATGAATGAGCGAGAGTTTGAATGGGTTGAGAAACGAAGAGAGAGAAACATACAGCAGGGTTCAACATGCCCCCGTTAATCCGATAGAAAGCCCACACATTCACAGTAACTGAAACACCAAACGCAGCTGCAACAAACAGCAACGCTGATGTATCTAGGACGAAAGGATGGGTGCTTGCTTCATTTTTCAAGGCAATGACCGCGATTTGTGTTGGCGCGAAGGAGAAGAAGAGGAAGAGGAAGGTTCCGAGGAACTCGCCAGTCATGACGACGAAATGGTTGCGGATTGTGTTGCGAGATCCGGTGGTCCAGTTCCCTAGGGAATGGGTTTTGGTGATTGAGGTTGAGGTTGAGGTTGGGTTGTTAGCGGCATGGTTGATGGTATCCCGACCCATTTTGAGGTACGAAAGTGGAGGAAAATGTGGTGTATGGGAATATAAGGAATGTACTTGGACTGAATGAAAAGTTCAAGTGTGTCTGGAATAGAATTTGTAAATTTTGAAGGGGGAATGAGGATTCTTGAGAGCCGGTAGAGCAGCTTTTTTTCTCTGCTTTTAAAAAGTCAGAGCATCCAAAATAACAGCAGAGGAGGTCTTATATACACACCAAGTTGTAGAATTGACGCATACTTAGGCTTGTGAGTGCTAGCCAACATGCGGAATGTCGTGCCCTTCTCAAGAATATGCAGGCGAGAATCTCGAAACATACGGATCGGGCGCCTTGCGTGTCGGGCAGCTACCTGGTCGGGCGAAGCCACACGCATATATGCACTCACGAGCTGAGTAAGGACAGAAAACCCTTCTTCCGCTATCGTGGAACTTGACTTCTAGGAAGAAGAAATGTGGCTGCTATAATAGTCGGTTCGTCCTTCTTCATAAGCAGTCGATTACAATCGGGGAAAGTAAGTATCCCGGCGAGAATTCATATAGGAAACCCTACTAAAAAATTATAATAATTTTTAGGGTAATTTTACTTATAAAAATAGTCGCGAAACGATCGCAATTAAATCTTAAACTAATTAAATAATCTATATTATAATATAAATTTTTATTCTAACTTACTAGAATTACTTATTAATATATAGAGATATATCTTAAAAATTATAAGAATATATATTATAAAGGGGGGGAGAGTTATTCTTATTTTTAAGGCGTTTTCGCAATAATTTTTATTTTGATTTTCTTACTAAAATCGCATATAAATTCTCGCTAGGACACTTTCTTTCGCGGGATACTTGCTTTCCCCGACTACAAGCGACTGCTTATAAAGAAGGACGAACCGACCATTACCTCTGGTATAGTCGTGATGTGAGGTGTTGTGGTTTCATGGTCAGGCCACCCTTTTCGTTGCTGCAGTGTCTCACTACTCGGTGTGGCCACTTTCACGCCACCTCGAAGGTTTCTCGAACACTAAGCATGCCTTCATGCAGCAGAAAGTTCATCCTTTCGCAAGGTTTTGCCCGGTTAGGAGGGTTTGCAACGCCGATGTGACGAATTGAAGATCAATTCCCTAATTTGGAGCAGCTGTTGACCAAACAGCAGCGCATCCGTGGTTTTGCTCACGCCCTAATCAGCCGTGACGAAGGGGTTTAGCCTATTTATCAACCAGTTACAAGACACATTCAAGCTGGACCTGGTTGTTTACCTAAGGCTTATAAAATCATTTGGCATTCAACGTCTATAGCATCACTGCAATATACCCTTCATGTATTAAGGCCCAATACTACATTCAGATTTCGACAAAGAGAGCCTGTCGTAGGATTTCACTACCGCTGCGGTCCGTTGAGGTAAAGTGTACCCTTGTACCCCGGCTATAGGTGATGTGTCAGCCATTGTGCCGATGTCGTAACTTCAAATTTGACCCTGCTGCCTGTGGAGGACTCAAGGTGAAATCTAGTCTCCCATTCCCTATTCCTCGAAACGTTTCGCTCTGGTTCCCCACGTTCGCAATGTATTCAACTTGTACTCGCAGGTCGGGGCTCGACTGAACCAAATGCGCAAGCAGTGTGTTAAATAAGTAGAGTAGAGTAGAGTAACGGGTGTTACTCTTACTCTACTTAATACTCATTGAGTAATCACTTAAGTTACTTGAGTAATACATCACGTGACTGCATATGGGGGGTGGCCGCCTCTCTAAGCCTAATTGGGAATGCGCTATATCGTATTAAGCTAAGCGTCGCTCGGTAAGCGACGTGGAAGCGATGAGAATAACCTCGATTTTCAACGTCACCCCTTTACCTTATTAATAATATAATTACTAACTCTATGATTTTAAATTAATTAAAGATATGACTCACTACTTTAAAATTAAGAGAAGCTTTATAATTAGAAGAATAATAGAGAATCGTTTAGAATATTAGACATTTTTATATAAATAAGTAATTCCTTTCGGCTTTTTAACTCTTATTTTTATTTTAAATACGAATATCTTAATAACTATAAGTCTTATTAAAACGATTTCTATTATATACTTACTTCCTTATATATATACTATACGAATATATCTTAATTAAATAATATTAAATAGAATATTCTATAAAATAAAACCAATTTTAAATTAAAACTTTTAAAAAAAATAATTTAATCTCTTTAAGTTTAATTATATCTCTAAGACTTTAAACCCTCTTAAGAATAATCTTAAGGATCTTTAAGCCTTTAAATCGATTACTATTTAATATCTAATTTTAAAGATTTAATAATTAATATATTTATAATAAAAAGTAATATAACTAAAAGATTAATAAGTTTATAAGTAATTATATATTATATATTAAGTATTTTTATAAAATAATAAACTTAAAGATTATAAAATAAAGTATAAACCTTTATAAGTTATATATTTTTAATAAAAATTAATAATATATTAATTTAAGAATTTAAGAATTTAAAAAGATTTAAATTAACTTATTATAAAAGAGGCTTATAATCGAGTATTTATAATTATTATAAAGTCTTTTAATATTAATTACTTTAAGAGATTATTATTATAATTAAAAATATTTCTTTTTAAGTAATTATAATAAAAGTATTATTATTTATATTAAACTAACTTATATTTAATAAAATATCGGCTTTATATTTTAAAGTTCTTATAAATAAATTTACTTTAATTTATAATAATAATATTAAATCTTAAAATACTTAAATTATTATAAATTAAAATACTTATCTTAAGATTATTATATAAGTTAAATTCTTATATAAATATAATTCTTTTATTTATTTATTTATAATTAAATATTTTATAAATAAAGATTTTAAATTAAAATCTTATTTATTAATTATAAATAATATATTTAATACATATTTTAATATATATTTTAATATATAATATAGTTTATTAAAACTAGAATAGGCATTAATAACTTATTAATAACTTATTAATAAAAGTGGGTCTAATTAAGACTTTAAATTTTGGAGTAAAATTTTTATTCGCTAAATTTCAAGCATTAATTACTAAATTTTTAAGCTCTACTTACTATATTTCTAGGCTATAATTATTAAAGCTAAGACCCACTTTTATTTATAAGTTATTAATAAGCTATTACTACTTACTCTAATTAAAACCTTATATACTTTTCTTAGTTTTATTACTTTCTTACTTTAATATACGTTTTCTTAATAATTATAAATATTAATTTAAACTTAAGAAATACGAATTATCTTAGTTATTAAAGTTATTTAAATACTTAAAAAATTAAGTTATTAAAAGATTATAAAGATCTATAAAGTTCCCGAATTTACCTTATATAATAAAATAAATAACTAAACTATTCTTTTTAAATATTAACTAGTAAATACTAATTTAAATAAACTTAAGAAGTAAATTATTATTAATTATATACTTAATCGGGATTTTAGAAGGGTTTCTCTTTAATAGGCTAATATAAAAGATATAATAAATTAATTATAAAAAACTTATTATATAAAACCTATTAATAAACTCTAAGTATATTACTTTATATAATATTACTTAAAGTTAAAAACACGTTTTAATTACGTTTATAACTTCTAAAGAGTCTTATATAAAGATCCTAAGCTAATTAATATATGGTTTTAATTAGTAGAGAATATATAAACGAAGTATAATATAATAAATAGTAATTTTTATAACTTTAATAAGACTAACTTTTTAATAAGCCTAAATATATTTTAAATAGTTATTATATATATTAATTAATATAATAAAGTTAAAGAAATATTACTAAGTAATCGGGAATAAGTAATAGCTATTATTTATATTAATAATAAAAGTTAAGATATTAACTATTTTACGAACTAATATTTTAAGACCGACCTCTTATATAATTAAGTTATTAAACTTATAAATAATAAAACAAGTCTAGAATAACTAAAATACTTTAATAAATATATTACTCTTTATATAAAAGGCTTATATTAGATACTAGTTCTAGATAAGTATAAAAGTTATGAATTAATTAAATTCTAAGACTATTATAAGTCTTATAATATTATAACTATTAAATTACCTTCTTACTTTTCTTATTTAACTTAATTACTTAATATTAGATATTTTAATATATTAAAGTAAATATATAACTAGTAAATTAAAGACTTTATAAAAGCTTATATTTATTATATTATTAAGATTGAGTTTCTTATAACTTTTAAAGTAGTATATTTATAATTAATTATAGTTTAAAATACTTAAATTAGATTTTATAAAACTAGCCTAATTTTCTTTAATTCTTAAGTAATAATCTTAAAGCTTAATATTAAGTTACGGACTCTAATACTAACTAGCTTCCTCTTTAGAAACGCCGACTCTTAAGTCTCTTAAATACTATATAACTCAATTAATACCCTTTTATAAATAACCCTAGTTAGGAATTATATTACTTATTATTAAGAAAGTTTACTAATATTACTTTTTTTAATAATTATTATATTAATAAAAAGTATAAAGATTTTAACTTATAAGATAACCTTTATATTTACTAAGTTATATATATTTTAAATAGTAAATAAAGTATTTTTTAAGTATTATAAAACTAAAAAGAATTATATTTATTAAAAGAAAGTAAATAAGTAAATTCAATATAATAAGTACTTTAGAGAAAGTTATTAAAACGAGGAGTAATTAAGTACGTAATATTATAAAAATTACAAGAAAACTAGTTATAATATATAGACTTATTAAGAGAATATAGATAAATCTAGTTTATTAGATTTTAATTAATTTAATATATTATAATTAAATAATTATAATTTAAAGTAATAAGGTAATAGAAAAGTATATAAAGTTCTAATATATATAAGGCCTTAATAAACCACGTTATAATTAATATATACTTAAAATATATAATAACTTAATTACTTTTAATTTAAAAAGAATATAAACTAATAAATTAAAACTTAAATAACTCAAATTTTTATATATAAGGATTTAAAGCTAAGATTAAGAAAAATAAAAAGAAATTAGAAAAAGATAATATAAGTTATTTATATATATTTAAGAAAAGTTATATAAATTAATTAAGCCTCTTTTATATTTTAAAATAAAGTAGTCTAAATTATTAATATAAATTATAAAATAAAAGTACTTTAAAAAGAAAAATAAACTTTAAACTTTAATTAAATTCTATTAATATTAATTTATTAAAGAAATTATCTCACTTCTTTTAATATAATAAATCTTTAAGCTTATTAATAATAAAGTAATCTTTATTTATATACTATTTATAAAAAAGGCTAAAAATAGCCTCTCTTTAAATAAAAATACAAATATATTCCGAATAGCCTTAATAAGTTAATAATATATTATTTATTATTATAAAATCTAAAGATTATTATAATATAATATATATAATAATAATAATAAGTTAAGTTTAATTCTTAACTCTTAATAATAATATTTTAAGACTTAATTTAATTCCTTAAATTACTCTAGTACTTCCTAATTATTATTATATTATTAATTCTACTCGAAAACTATATAAATTACTTTAAGTAAATAATTATATTATAAAATTATTTTTAGAATTAAAGTATTATAATTATAATTATATTTAAAGAAAAATACCTTAATATATTATAAGATTATATATAAGACTTATTTATACTTTAAATTAAAATAATCTATATTATATTATTAGAATTTAAACTATTTTAACTTAATAGAACTTTAAATAAGTTAGAAATCTATATTAAAACTTAATTACTTATACTATTAATATAAAACTTTAATTCTTATAATTTATATTATATAAATTCTAGGTTCTAATTAATATAATTAAACTTATAATCTCTAAGATAAATATATTTTTTTATTTATTCTTATAATCCTTATTTCTTATTAGATTTATAATTAAGTTGTATTTAGGAATATTTATCTTTATACTAGTAAGATTTATTTTTAGATAATATAGAAACTATAATCGATTCTCTAAGTAGCTATAGTCGGTCCGACCCAAATACGACAAAACGGTCGCTCTTTTACGCCCATAATAACTTTTCAACCATAACCTTTATTAATTTATACTAAGTAATACGATTATAGAATAGAACTAGGCGAAAAATACCTATTAATCAGATTTTTAATATAATTTGTGGTTCATTAATAATTAAGGCCTAAAGTATATGGACCCTTTTTACTTTTTTGATTTTTTGTTATATAAAGCGCAAAAATATTTGCTTACTAAGGTTACGTAAGCCCGGACTTCAGAGAGAGATTAGGGCATCTTACTAGCCTTATTATTAATAAAATAATAATAATTAAGCCCTATAATCTTAATTAAACCTTCCTAAGTACTAAATATAGCTTTTTCTAGTACCATATATATTATATATATAGTAGGACTATAATTAAATAGGTTTCAAGCTTACTTTTAGCTAAACTAAATCCATAAACTTAGCTTCTTATTTAGCTACCTTCTTTCCCTTTCTTTTATATATTATTTCATTCGTCTATTACCTTTTTAGATATCGTTCTATAGCGTTTTTGCTTCTTTACGCACCAAGCAGCTTGTTTAATACTTAATCCCTTCCGATATATATCTATCTAGCAGAATATACGGTTATAAAACCTCCGTATAGTCTCAATTAAATAAGCTTTAAGTGCCTCTATTACCTTAACCTTAGTATCTGGGAAGCTAACCTTCTTTACTTAACGAAATCGAGTTTTACTATACCCCCAGTATATCTCAATTAGGTTGATTTCGCAGTGGAACTTCGGTAGAAATATAGCCTTATATCCCCGCTCTATAATAAGCTCTTTAATTTAACTCTTCTTCTTAAAGAAGTCTTTGTGATTCGAGAGTATACGAGCTAAATAGTACGTTTATTCGATAGCGGGAGGGTATTTAAGGGATATAGTATACTTAGCACCCTTTGGATACTTAAATCTTAAGCCAGGGATATTATACCCTTACTTAATAAGAATCTATTTCACGCCCTTAGGCTCTCTTTCTCTATTCGGATTAAGTTACTAAAGAACTTATATAGTACCCTGTAACCCCGGAATTATATACTCCGGTGGGAAATACGTATCCCTCCTATAGGGCTTGATATTACCCTTTTTAATCCCTCCTGGTATCTTATTTATACCAAAGGCGTTTAGTATACCTTCGCTATACGAAGCGTATACAGAAGACTAATTAAATATTAGAATAGCTATACAATTTGGGTACTTCTATTTAAATATATCAAGCATCCTAGTAACCTGTACTAGTAGCTATTTTGTATCCTACTAGGGATCTCTATTTGAGCCTGGATATATAATTTGACGGGCATCCAAATCGGGGTCGTCCGGAATAAAAATGCCTTTATTATTCGGTACCCTAATATACCCCTCAGGCCCTATAAATTCAGAATCGTGAATTAGCCTCCCTTTGCTCTTTCCTGGCATTTTTTACTAACTATCTGCTAGCCAGAGGCTCTTTTTATAGTCAAAACCATAGAAATAGCTCTTATTATAGAAGTATATTACATGTACCTGAACTCCAATTAGGAGTAAAGGTTAAATCATATGCCATATACTAGCTTCATCCTCCTTGTACTGGACTATATATAATAAAAGCTTGTTTATTAATAGTAAAAATACCTCTTAATAATACTGAATTATATTAGATCATTCGTATCCATTCACATAAAGCCCTTTCTTAGTCTCATGGTAATAAAAGCCAAGCCTAGGGAGCCATAAGTAAGCTGTACTACGAGCGATTAGCCTTTCGATTATTAATAATAATCGAGGTAAAATCTCCTAATTAACGGCATTCAGGAAATCGTTTAGTAATATTATTCCAAGCTCTTAATTAATTAACCAAGTACGGCAAGCTAAAAAGATGTCCTCGTTATCCAGATAGGAGATACCATTCCTTTTACCACCCCTAGCCTCTAGTAGAATGCCATGCCACTATTAATAGTAATTAAATAACCCCCTAATTCGCCGAGCTAGTATCTTTCCATTATTAAAGCAGTAATTACTAGAAGCTACTAAGAGTAATATATTGATTCTCCCTAGTTAATACTGCCCTGGTTTCAGGAGCTATTAGGTATATTGCCGGAGTAGGTATAAGTCAGTAACTATATATGAAGTATATAAGTCTTTTATCTGTACTAGCTTTATATTCACATTGTCAAGGACTTCCTAATAAGTCATTCGTACGTCTAGAGCTTCATTATCTCCGCAAGCGTTTCTAATAAGGGTATCCAAAAGTAGCTCGTTCGTTCTATTATCTTTATCCTCAAGCCTTTACTCTTTTCTTAATTATATATCCCTAGGGATATTAATTGGCCTCTCAATAATACCGAATTATAGCTTCTTTTATTTAAAAGACGGTACGATTATAGGGGTCTTGAGCCTAGTAACTTGAGCATCTTTTGCCCTCTAATCATATATATGCTTTTATTGAGTTCTCAATAGCTTTGCTAATTCCTTTATTAATTTGGAGACGTACGAGCCTCTGGAAGCTAGAAATAGTATTAGTATACTTATATTATAATATAAAGATAAGAAACTTACTAGTCTATACCATAAGTCTTTGCTCTTGCTATGCGAATATAGGCTTCTCCAAAATAATCATCTTATTACTACTAATAATAAGCTTCCGCTAAACCCAAAAGAGAGTTGAATCTTCAAGCTCTAATTAATCGCCTTATTCAATATCTGAACCATCAGAATCGTCCTCTATATTAGAGGGTTTCCCATACCGTTCGTTAAGAGTTACTTGGATTATAGCTTCTTTAGCTAGAGTAAGAACTATAATTAAATCAAGAGTTAAATCAGCTCGCTTGCACTTCTGAAGGCTTACAGAGGTAGCCATTGGAAGTATTCAAAAGGGGTACTTGATTAGGTTTGTGGTTATTGAGATATTAATATAATTATGGAAGAGCGGTCAATCTGGGGGGGCAGTCACGTGATAGCCAAAGTTAAAAAATAACCATACAAAGCGCAAAAATATTTGCTCGCTTAATTACATATATTATAACTCCCTTAATAATAAAGATATTATAATTTTGAGACTATATAATTAATTCCTAGCGTATATAGTATAGTTTTAATTAATACGATTTATATCAATTAGTATTATGGTGGTTTTTTTTTTTTTTTGTCGTGTTTGGGTCGGACCGACTATAGAAGAAGACTCCCCTAAGTATAATCCAGCTAACTTATTAATATACTTAGGACTTATGGCTCAGCTTAGGTTAGAGTAGCGATTGCTCAGGCCAAATAGTGGAAGTGGACTTTAGTGGATTCAATTGTCGTCCAAGATTATATTAGTAATCTCTCGTTTTGAATAAGATTCGAAGTACCTTATATTACTCACGACACCCTAGCAGGCAGGCCATGTGCTGATTCCAAATACCAATGTCTTAAAATCGTGTTTTTACCTGCTAGACGACAAGAGAACCTAAATGTAGTGTCATGCCGTATTTTTTGGCAACCTTTATGTGTTGTAATCGCGCAAAGGACAGACTATGCTGGCAGGACTCTATCTCGCACCGGTCGACACTTCAGAAAGCCGTGGAGCTAAAACTCAACCTGGCGGACAGCATTGGTCACCAACATGACATAAGATCAGTGATCCATGGATCCCTCGGCATACACGGCTATGGACAACAGCGCCTGAATTGTCTCCTTGTTTGTAGGCTGCAGAATAAGGTCTGGAAGTACCAAGACCGCGTTGCGGTAGTAGGCCTTAATAACGCAATCCAGTTCGTCTTCCGACCCAGGCTCTGTCTTGAAACGCACCCCATGGCAATCCAAGTGTTTATGATTGCCCATCGGGCTGGATTGCCCGCCGGATGAGCGCTGCTGACCGCGTGCTGTTCGGCGTTGAGCCTGTTGAGCGTCGGAAGATCGAACATTGGATAGACCGCCGTAATCTCGTCATAGGTGGTCTCAAACATGCGCCGAATCTGATCTTGGGATATTAGAGGAACAAAGCCTTCGGGTGACTTCTGTTCTTCTTTGACAGCCTGTTTCAAGTCTTGGAGAGCCGGCATATTGTTCTCAGGATGTAGAAACACTGGAAATCTCTGTTGCAGAAGCGCTTCCAGGCCCATGAACTCCTCAGATAGTTCTAGATGCACCTGAGTTTCAAATATATCTCTCATCGCAGCAGACGAGCCATCATTGTTGGATGAGTAATTCTCTTCGTTCTCTACCACGTCTCTCCCCTGAATTTGGGTTTGTAGTAGGCTGGGTCACTGTTCCAAGGTTTCGACACTCCTTTTCCTATTGAGTAGGGTTAGCCTCCAGTATAGAAAGGTAAAAAGGCAGAAGGGAAAGAGAAAGGGATGACCAGCTTCTTCCCAGAACCTCGCATCTTTCGGATGGGTAAATACTCGCACTGCAAGCCATGACTAGCATAGCTAGAGCGTGCTGGTGATTTCCCATCACAGCTTATTTTACGGTCTCTACAAGTTATGCAAGCCTGTAAAAGCATTAGCCGAAGTTGGATGACAATGAAATGGAAGGGGAGACAAGCGTTGGGCAGAAAGGCAACAATAGAAAGTGCATGGTTTTAGTGCAGCTACCTCCACTAGCGAGGGGCGAGAATGCTAGGTAGAATGAACAATAGGCAATGCCAATGTCTGCCTCACGCAGAGGCTTGCTATGCTAGTTTCGGGTCAAATATTGTAAGGTTGGGACGCAAATTGAAGGGAACGCAAAGCTGATATGGGATTTTTGTGAAATCTCAAGGGTCTGGCGAATGTCGTTCCGGTGCATTTGAATGGGAGCTGTTACGATTTACTCACCAATATACGAATTGGCCAATTCTATAGCGTTAGTCAATTAATGGACGTATTAGCCAATTAATTTAGATGTTTTTTGAACTTCCTAATATAGTAATTATGAGGCTAGTGAGATGGAGGTTATAGCTAACGCTCCTTATATAATTCACTATACTAAATATATATTATATTTATGTATAAGTAATAGTGATTAGACGTCCTAATTCGGTATTTTTAAAGCTATTCTGAGCTTCTTTTACACGTCTCACTTAAATAATATCACATGAGAGAAAATTAGTTCAATTCTAAGATGCCTTCCCCTTTCCCTTTCCCTTCGTTTCTACTGAAGGGTCATACCTCACTACTCTCTTCCTCACTCTCCCTGCAGGAGTAGGGGTAGGAGCTACGGGCTCCTCACGTGCTACTCTCTCCTGACCCCTTTTAATCGCCGTAACAATGGCGAATCTAGAGAGATGGTGAGGAATTAAGTCCGAGAATGGGAGGGAAAGAGGGGTAATGGGTTTTAGAGTTTAGGGGGGGGGACTAGCTTTGGAAGCACAGCTGACTTTTGAGCGGTTTTGGAATAACTTTTATCCAGGCGCAGTTTTTCATGCAGTTACATAGGAGCGAAATGGGGTGGTTGGTAGGGTTATTAGTAAGGCAGGCTAGGCTCGTAAGACCCCATTGAGAGGACGAAAATATATCTTCATGCAAAAGCGACTGATTGGTCAATAACGTCATAAATTGAGTAATGCCATCCGATTGGTCAATATGGCATTGAATTGGTCAATCAATCATAACAGAGCTGGGTTATGAGAGAATTTTTTTTACCATGAAGGCTTTTCTGCGCTTTCTTTTATATGCTTCGGGACTGAGTTGTGGATGCGCCCCCGGCTCCATCTTAGACCACTCTTGAACAATTGTCTGCACAATGCATGTGCTGGGCGGCGTCTTCTTCTACTCGACGACAGACCGGGGCCCACGGAACCAATTTTCAGCCGCCCGGAATCAAATCTGCTGCATTTGTCAGCGCCGGAATCAAAGTGGTATGCTGCACCTTACGGATCCGGTAAAGCACCCGCGCTGCAGCCATGCAGCAGCGGCTACAGTCGGTCCGATCCAAAAGCAACAAATTGGTCACTCTTTTACGCCCATAATAACTTTTTAACCACAAGCCTAATTAATTTATACTAAGTTATGCGATTATAGAATAGAACCAGGCGAAAAATACCTATTAATCGAATTTTTAATATAATTTGTGGTTTATTAATAATTAAGGCCTAAAGTATACGGACCCTTTTTATTTTATTGATTTTTCGTTATACAAAACGCGAATATTTCTACTTACTAAGGTTACGTAAGCCCGTACTTCAAGGGAATATTATAGTATCTCACTAGCCTTATTATTAATATAATATTAATATTTAAGCCCTATAAGCTTAGAAGAACCTTCCTAAATATTAAATATAGCTTTCTCTAGTACTATATATTATATATATATAGTAGGGCCCTAGTTATATAGGATTCAAGCTAATTTTGGCCAAACTAATTCTATAAACTCTAGCTACCTTTGCTCTCCTGCTTTTATATATTATCCTATTTCTCTATTACTATTTTAGATATTATTCTATAGTATCTTTGCTTCTTTATATACTAAGTAGCTTGTTTAATACTCAATTTCTTCCGATATACATTTATCTAGCAGAACGTATAATTACAGAACCTCTATATAGTCTTAATTAAACAAGCTTCAAGTGCCTCTACTACTTTAGCTTTGGTATCTGGGAAGCTAGTCTTTTTTACTTAATAATATTAAGTTTTGCTATACTCCCAATATATCTTAATTAGGTTAATTTCGCAGTAGAACTTCGGTAAAAATATAGCCTTATGCCCTTGCTCCGTAATAAGCTCTTTAACTTAAGACTTCTCTTTAAAGAAGTCTTAGTAATTCAATAGAATACGAGCTAAATAGTATATTTATTCAATAGCAGAAAGGTATTTAAGGGATATAGTATACCTAGTATCCTTTGGGCACTTAAATCTTAAGCCAGGGATATTATAATCTCGCTTAATAAGAATCTATTCTATATTCTTAGGCTCTCTTTCTCTATTCGGATTAAGTTGCCAAAGAACTTAAATAGTACCCTATAGCCCCGGAATTATATACTCCGGTGGGAAATATATATCCCTCCTATAGGGCTTAATATTACCCTTTTTAACCCCCTCTAGTGCCTTATTTATACTAAAGGCGTTTAGTATACCTTTACTATATAAAGCATATATAGAAAACTAATTAAATATTAGAATAGCTATATAATTTAGGTGCTTCTATTCAAATATATTAAGCGTTCTAGTAATCTGAACTAGTAGCTATTTTATATCCTATTAGGGGTCTCTATTTGAGCCTAGATATATAATTTAACAGGTATTCAAATCGGGGTTATCTGAGATAAAGATGCCTTTATTATTTAATATCCTAATATGCCTCTCAGGGCCTATAAACTCAGAATCGTGAATTAGCCTCTCTTTACTCTTTCCGGGCATTTTTTGCTAATTATCTACTAGCTAGAGGCTCTTTTTATAATTGAAACTATAGAAATAGCTCTTATTATAGAAGTATATTATATGTACCTGATCCCTAATTAGAAATATAGGTTAAATTATATGCCACGTACTAGCTTTATTTTTCTCGTATTAAACTATATATAATAAAAGCTCGTTTATTAGTAGTAAAAACACCTCTTAATAATACTAAATTATATTAGGTTATTTGTATCTATTTATATAAAGCCCTTTCTTAGTCTTATAGTAATAAAAGCCGAGCCTAGGGAGCTATAAGTAAGCTATACTGCGAGTAATAGGCTTATTAATTATTAATAATAATCTAGGTAAAATCTCCTAATTAATAATATTCAGGAAATTATTTAGTAATATTATTTCAAGCTCTTAATTAATTAATCAAGTTCGATAGGCTAAGAATATATCCTTATTATCTAGATAAGACGCTTTATTTCTTTTACTACCCCTAGCCTCTTGCGGAATACTATACTACTATTAATAGTAATTAAATAATTCCTTGATTTACTAAGCAAGCGTCTTTTTATTATTAAAATAATAATTACTAGTAGTTACTAAGAGAGATATATTAATTCTTTCTAGCTAATATTGCCCTGGCTTTATAAGCTATTAGGTATATTACCGGAATAAGTATAAGTTAGTAATTATACGGGAGATATAGGGGTATTTTATTCGTACTAGCTTTATATTCATATTATTAAGGACTTCCTAATAAGTTATTTATATGTCTAGAGCTTTATTATATCCACAAGTATCTCTAATAAGGGCATCCAGAAATAATTCGTTTGCTCTATTATCTTTATTTTCAAGCCTTTACTCTTCTCTTAATTATATATCTCTAGGGATATTAATTAGCCCTCTAATAATATTGAATTATAGCCTCTTTTATTTAAAAGATAGTATAATTATAGGGGTCTTAAGCCTACTAGATTATACTATAGCTTGAGTATCTTTTGCCCTCTAGTTATATATATATATTTATTAAGTTCTTAATAGCTTTACTAATTCCTTTATTAATTTGGAGTAATACAAGCCTCTGGAAGCTAGAAATGTTCTTAGTATACTTATATTATAATATAAAAATAAGTAAATAAGTAAGAAACTTACTAGTTTATTTTATAAGTTTCTAATCTCGCTATATAACTATAGGCTTCTCCAAAATAATTGTCTTATTTCCACTAATAAGAAGCTTCCGCTAAACCCAAAAGAAGGTCGAATCTTTAAGCTCTTTATTACTTGGTTTAATATCTGAATTATTAGAATTATCCTCTATATTAGAGGGTTTCCTATACCATTCGTTAATAGTTGCTTGGATTATAGCTTCTTTAGCTATAGTAAGAACTATAATTAAATCAAGAGTTAAATTGGCTCGCTTGTATTTCTAAAGGTTTATAGAGGTAGCTATTAGAAGTATTTAAGAGGGGCACTTAATTATATTTGTAGTTATTGAGATATTAATATAATTATGGAAGAGCAGTTAATAGAGGAGGGCAGTTACGTAATAATAAAGTAAAAAAATGCCTATATAAAACGCAAATATATTTGCTCGCTTAATTATATATATTATAACTCCCTTAATAATAAAGATATTATAATTTCGAGAGCATAGAATTAATCCCTATAGTATATAGTATCGTTTTAATTAATACGATTTATATCAACTAGTATTATAGTGATTTTTATTTTTATTTGTTGCTTTTGGATCGGACCGACTGTATGGCGGCCTGCCCTGCTTGCCGCCAAGCTTCTTCTAACTGCCACGGAGCGAAGCAGCTGCTCCATCGCCAGTACCTAATTTTGATCCCGTTCGAATCGGAGGAGAAAATCCATTATTTTGATGGCGAGAATAATGGCGTTGTCGAAGGTCTTCGGCAGAGGCACTCTCAAGCATATAAGGATGCCTAGACTGAGCTATTTGACTACTGTCTGCAGTTGCTGGTAGTACCGGTACCGTGGGCCGCAATATTGTCGAAGCGCTCATCTCTCAGGGGAAGCACGAAGTTATAATTCTGAGCCGCACGGTATGCCGCTCCTGATCCAGTAACCCATTACCGAGCTAACTTGCTCAAAGGCGAACGCCGCTAAACAAAAAGAAATTAGTGCTCGCCTCGTCGCCACAGATTACCAAGACGTGGCGGCACTCACCTAAATCCTTGAGGACAACAATATCCATACTGTTATCTCTACCTTGGCCATGATGCCCAACGCGGCTAGGCCGTTGGAGCAGAACCTTATCCAGGTTGCCAATGCTTCCAAAACAACCAAGAGATTGGTACCTAGCGAATTCGGGTTCCCTCATCGCGACGAGTAGGTACCGCGCTCACTCATATTGCTCTCCGCAATGACTAGCCTGTTATTTCGATAGAGATGGGGATTTGTTCCCGTCCATCCCCATGAAACAGGCTTCGCAACGCGCGCTTGAAGCCAGTAGCCTGGAGTGGACCATAGTCTACAATGGATACTTTATAGACTATTTCGGGATGCCCAAACTTACGTCTTACCTAGCACCTAAATATTATATATATAATAATTTTTTTTAATAATTACTTTATTCCTTTAATTATAAGTTATATGAAATAAATTATTATTAAGAGCTAACAAAGTAAAAATAATATAATTAATTAAAGAGTTAAATAAAGTTATATATAAGATATACTTTATTTAATACTTAATTAACTTTTTATAATTATATAAAGTATTTATTTTAATAAAATAATTAAAAGAAATAATTCATATTTATAAACTACTTATATAACTTATAATTAAAGGAATAAAATTATTATATAATAAGTAATTAATAAAGACTTTTATATTTATAATTTTATAATACTTATTATTATTAATTAATACTTTAAGTATTTTAAATTCTTTAAAAATAGTAATTAAAATAATTAATAAGGAAAGGGACTAATTAAGCTTTATTAGTACTAATAAGCTATTTAAATAATTATATTAAGAAAATCTTAAAGTCATAAACTATTAATTTTATTATTAAAAAGTAATTAAAGTTTGGAATATACTTTATATATATTAATTAATTAGAATAGAATTATATATTTATAGAAGTATAGAAAAAAAGCTTAAAAGATATATATAATAATAATAAACTAAGTAATAATTTACTACTTCTTCTTCCTCCTCCCATTTTAACTGCCCAGCTTTCGACATACTTCGCTTCACCGCCCTTCATTGCCGCACAGCCTCCATCACCTAACTAAGCAAACGAACACTTCTTCAACAACACATTCATTGGTCCCTTCTCCCAAAGCGTATAAGTCTTCTGATCCAACCAATTATCGTTCTCATTCGCAAGCTGCAGATCGAAACTGTAGAGTACTCTTGCGAGGATTAAACGCATTTCGGCGTATGCTAGGCTATTCATATTCGAGTCAGTACAGCGTTTTGGGTACTGGGGATAGGTTTAGTATGGGGAAATGGCGTACTTCTTGCCGATGCAGTTCCGGGTCCTAGGCTGAATGGATTGAGTGCGCTGCGGTTGTCGTTCACGAAGCGTTCGTCGCCGAGGAAACGTTCTGGGATGAAGGAGTCGGGGTCGCGGAAGTTGAGGGGGGAGCGGTAGGTTGCTACCATATGGACTGATACGACAGTCTTAACAGGGTTAGACGGGTGGTTTCTAGGAATATCAATTTAGGATACTTAGACTTACTCCACCAGGAACCCATTTCCCATTGATGAAATCCCCCTTGCCTGGGACGATTCGCTGCAGGCCAACTGGTGCTGCTGGATAGATACGCATTGCTTCCTCAAGGCATGCTAACATATATTTCAGATTTCCCACAGCAGCGATTGTGATCTCGTCTTCGTTGGTGAAGGTCGAGCGGATCTCATGCACTACTTTGGCCATGACAGTTGGGTTCTTCAGGAGATGGAATGTCACGCCTGAGAGAACAGTGGCCGTTGTCTCGCTCCCGGCTATGATCAGGATGGATGAGTTTCCTACGAGCTCGGGGAAGGTCATGCCATTTTTCTCGCGCTTGAGGATGTTGTCCATGAAGTCACGGCGTTCTTCTGTTCGGGATACGCGCTTCTTTACTTTCTCTATCGTTAGTGCATGGTGAGCTGCCTTTTTTGACAATAACTCCTTTGAGACGAGTAATGAGGCTAGGTTTCGTCCGCCGGGGATGTATTTGAGGGCTTGGGTGTAACTTCCGGCTTTGATGTTGTTGAAGATTAAGCTGACCCAGGGGTGGTAGTCGGACTTTTCAAGACAATCAAATGATTCACCGAATGTGAGGTCGCCGATTAGATCGAAGGTGGTGAAGTTGTACCACGCAACAATGTTCAATGGCGTCTGTCCATCGTTCGAGATCTCTCCGAGGCGTCGGATTAGAAGGTCGACATATCTCTTTATCAGGGGCTCTTGCTCGCGCATGGATGAGTCTGAGAATGCATGAGAGAGGGTTCTCCGGAAGCGAGAGTGGTTCTCGCGGTTTGCTAAGATAATATGGTCCCCTCCAGGATGCTCCAAATAGGATTTGCGTTGCTTGGCCATCTCTTCCTTTCCTTGGCGATGGGCATAAATGTCTTTCCATGCTTTGGGGTTGATGTACGAAAGCTCATCGGGGGCAATGCGAACAACTTCACCATAGATTTCGTGGAGATTCCGCATGTTATGGGTTTGGCGACCATGGATAAGGGCCAGAAGCCATGGGATTCGAGTTACAGCACACAACTTCGGTCCTGGGTAGGCACACAAGGGATTGAAGTAGAGATTGTAGGTGGCAGAGCCTAGAATGTAGCAGGTGGACTGATGGTTGGGCAATAATTAGATGATGCCAGCCAACGTTTATGTCAAATTACTTACCAGAATGACAAAAGCACCGCCAAAGGCCAGTAGCGAGTTTTGCAGACCGGAGCTCTGCACATCGAAGCTCTGATAAGGAGTCATGATATGAACAAGGCAGGGCGGTTCAGCGTTTGCAAAGGGATTCGAGATTCAACAATCAATGATGAGAAGATGACAAGAAGAGAATAGAAGGTCTTTCTTCGTTTTAATATTGGTTTGAACTCCGAGAAGGGAGGAATAACTAACTAAAATATATTCTCTCGTTTGGCCACTCGAACAGACGAGGGCTCGTGTCATGGAGTGCATGCAACAGTAGAGATGCCGTGTTGAGAATTATGCATTTATGAATTGCCGTATATCCGTGAGAGGCAGATGAAAAGCACCAGAGAGTGGACTCGGGAGGGGGGATAGTACACGACGGCAGCTGTCGGCAGCTGCTAGCACTTGCAGGCACTTATGCAAGAAATATCTCAACGCATCCGCGGTTAACATGCCAACCTATCACAGGACTTGTAATTTAGTATGAATCAGGATGATCCAGATCTTAGCTTCTTTTGGTCCATGTCTGTAAGGAATCCGCACCCTGTGCCTCGTTATTCGACGGTGGCGATATACTCTTGGCTGACCGTTATGCCATCTGCACAGAAGCCACGTACATGTCAATCACAGAAATGCACGAGTGGACCAAGGTCATGAAGCCTTTACACATGCTTGTTGAAAGTTGAAACCCTGAGCCCCTCCATCCCGATATGCCAAATTCACTATACTGTGCTTCAAAACTTGTGCAAATTGTGCACATACCTTCGGTCCGATGCCCACCACACAATCCTGCACCGGAGCATAAAGAATCCGCACCGCTTTCTACAAGGTTTAGACTTTTGCCTGCAAACCAGGCTTTCCTTGGCCGATCTGAGATGACTATTCAGAGTTTTGATAGGCCGCAAGGGTCGGGTAGGCGCGGCCGGGTTGTTTTGGGATTGTTGCGTAAGGGGAAACACTTCCGTCTTGCCGAAATTATAATGATTCTTTGTTGAAGATAGGATTGAGATCGACATTGACGTTAATATCGACCTTTCAGTCAAATGCCTGAAAAGCGGGCACGTAAGCGAGGCGGTTTTGAAAAACACACGTTAGCGAGAAGCTCCCTTACCAAAATCATATAGTTAATAACTCGATATTAAATAACGGGCAAATAGCTACAAGTTAGGTACCGAAATAATTGCATATTACCAGGTTTTTAAAAAGTTATAGCTATATATTATATATTAGTTATATAGCAGATTAATCGCGATTTTATAGCAAGAGTATATATATTAAGAGCCGAAAAAGCATAATATATATAATATCGGTAATAACTCAATAAATAACGGGTAAATAGCTATAAGTTAGGTACCGAAATAATCATATATTGCCAGGTTTTTAAAAGGTTATAGCTATATATTACGTATTAGTTATATAGTAAATTAATTGCGATTTTATAGCAAGAGTATATGTATTAAGAGCCAAAAAAGCATAATATATGTAATATTAGTAATAACTCAATAAATAACGGGCAAATAGCTATAAGTTAGGTACCGAAATAATTATATATTACTAGGTTTTTAAAAGATTATAGCTATATATTATATATTAGTTATATAGCAGATTAATCGCAATTTTATAGCAAGAATATATATATTAAGAGCCAAAAAAGCGTAATATATATAATATTAGTAATAACTTAATAAATAATAGGCAAATAGCTATAAGTTAGGTACCGAAATAATTACATATTACTAGGTTTTTAAAAGGTTATAGCTATATATTATATATTAGTTATATAATAGATTAATTATAATTTTATAGCGAGAATATATATATTAAGAGCCAAAAAAGCATAATATATATAATATATATATCTTAATAAAACTAATATTATATTATTAATAACTTTCTTTATATTAGTTTAAGGCCCTAAAAGGCTATAAATTAAGTACTAAATTAATTATATATATTATAATAGAAAGTATATATTTTAGGATTTAATATATTATAATATATATAATAAATTTATTACCGAGAGTTTGGAACTCGCTTAAAGATTAAGGCTAGAGGCGCTTCCTAAATCTAAACCCCTTTTACTCTTAGTATAATTAATAATAATTTTTTTAGATATTACTCCTAAATAAGCTAATTCTTTAATAGCCTTTTACTCCCGAACCCTTAGCGAATTATTACCGGATTTTAATCTTTTATTTCTAAATCTAATTCTCTAAGAATATCTTATCTAAAGAAAAGTAAAGAAGAAAAGAAAGAAATAAGATATAAAAGCAATATAGCTAGATAAGTATACTAGCGGGAAAAGTATTAATAAGTTCCAGATTCTAATTTAATAAGTTATTATTTACTTACTTATATTTCCTTAAGCTTCTTTTATTTACTATAGATTTAATAACTAATATATGCCTTTTCCTAGCTTCTTTAAATACTATTTAGTAATCTTTTCCTTAATAACTTTTTCCTTAATAACCTTCTCCTTAATAATCTCTTTCTTTTTTATAACCTTTTTTCTTAGATATACTAACCTCTTTAACTCTAATTATATAATAGCCTAATTCTTTATATATATTACCTTTTTACTATATCCAAGAATATTTAAATACTATAAGTACTTTAAGTATAAAGCTACTTGGCTTCCAAATATTATTAATTTAACCTTAAAATATACAAGAATTATTAACTAGATATTAAAGATCTATACCTAATTCTATAAGACTTTTATTATAAAATATAGGCCTGCCTTATATAATATAAGAGCCTACTATTCGCAAATCTACTAGAATTCAAGAGTAAAATACCAAGTTATTACTAACTAAATAAGAAATTATTACCTACTTATTTATAAGAATCCGAGAACAAAATATTAAATAATAATTACCTAATAGTAGATATTATAGAGAGACCTAAGAGATCCCTAGTAAGACCCAAAAAACTTCCTACTTAAGCCCAAGTATTATAAGTACTACCTTACCTTATAATTCTTTCGAAAATATAGTGGCTTTCTAGCTAATTACTACTAAATTAATAATTATATTTCCGCAAATCTACTATAAATATAAATCTCCTAAATACTTATAATCGAGAAATAAGGGGCAAATATATATATATTCTATAGAGCCTACTATATAAATAAGCTACGAATTTAGTAAGGCCTATAAGATTAGGTATTTATAATATATAAGTAATAAGGAATTAGAACCTATTAGTTAATCTTAAGGAAATTAATAATCTATTCTCTAAATACTAACTATTTACTAAAGTACTAATCTGGAACCTCTAAATTTATAAAACCGGAATAGGGATTCCTTACTAAGTTATAATCTCTTATTATATAGTATAATCCCAGATAATAATAATTATAATATTAATAATTTTAATAATAGTTCCCCAGAATATAATAGCGAAACGGAGCCTAATAGCTAGGAGCTATATAGCGAATTATAGGCAAATATTTCCTTTTTTGTAAATAGTAACTAGCTTAGTCTCGGGTATTTCCTAGACTAACTACTTCCGGGTAATAATAATAATAATAGTAATAATCCCGACTTTATTCCCGAAAAGACCCCTAATATGCCTTATCTAGATAATAATAATAGTATTAATAAGAATAATAATAATACCGAGAATAACTAAATTATTAATAATAAGGATACTAAGACTAAGAATAAGAGTAAGGGTAATAGCGAGAATAAGGCAGAATTAGAAGCTTAATTATAAGCCGAGATTACTAGACCTAATAAGCTACTAATTAATTACGTTTCGGAGCTAGCTTATTATTTATTTGATTTCTAAGGATATATAAATAAGTAGTATACCGAGTCTAATAATAAATAAGATTTCTTTTATTTTACTAAATAATATATTATACTTCTATAATACCGCGATTTTCTTTTAAATTATAGTCTTAATAAATAAAATAGTAAACTATTATATCTAAAGCAAATAATAAACTAGTAAGAATATATAATAATTAGGGATATTAATTAGCAAGCTATATTTACTAGTCTTATTATAAATAATAATAATAATTATTTACCTAATAGCCAGGTTATAAATAATAATAATAATAATTTAGATAATAGTACTTTTTATAAGCTTAACTTTAATATATTACGAGTGAATTATAATAAAAATAATACTGAACTAGTAGCTAATATTCTAGATTATTACTTATATTTATATATACTTTACTCTTAGATAAATTACTATAAAGGTTTAAGATAATATAATATTAATAGCTTTTATAAGTATACTAATTACCTTTCTTTTTGCCTAATAAGGAATTCAAGTTAACTTATATTCTTGTTTTTAATAAAATATCTTTACTTTTATGTATTTATATATAAATATTACTAACTCTATAACAAATCCTGACTAGCCTAAGATCTAGAAAGTAGCCTTTTATAAGGTGTCTTACTATTACTTTAGTTATATAATTAGTTATAAGAATATTTATATTTATATTTTCTTTTCTTTTATATAAGACCCTATAAAGAAAACTATATTTCCTAGATATAATAGTAGTATCCCATTTTCTATTCTCTAATATTAGTTTAATAAGATCCTTTTATTAGCCATATTTCGTAATATTTCACTAATAAGTTACTAGTATATTTCTTTTAATTAGAAGTATACTAAACTTAAAGCCAAGGTATACTAATAAAAGAATATTAGTTCTATATATAATAATAATATTTAAGCTAAGGTAATACTTCTTTATTATACGGTTTAAGGTTATATACTATAAGTAATTTGGTATAATATTATTTAGTAACTTTCCCTTTATAATAATAAGCTATATTGTAATACTTGTATTTACTTTTTAAATAAGAATACTAAACTTAACTTTAAGGCCAATACCTTATTAAAGATATGGGATGCTTTTATTTCTATACTATTTCTAGTTTTTAACTTTTCGAAACTAGATTAGTCCCGAATCTATACTAATTTGGCAAAAGAAACTATCTCAACCTAATTTATATTACTTAAGTAGCTACTTAATACTAATAGATATGTCCCGACCACATACCTTCTTTATACCTGCTATCTTAAGGCCTTTACTA